CACCATGTACAAAAAATTAAACTTTTTTTTATTTTTTAGCTTTTCAAAAATCATCTGAACTTATAAGTAGATGCTTATGATACATTACAGATGTCTTGACCTGCACACCATGTGCTTTTATTTAAATTACTTCTACTTACTGTTGCATTTTCACTCTTAATTTAACTTGCCATGAATGTTTCTAAAGTTGTTAGTGCAACACTTTCTGTTTAATTTTAGTTGTACTGATACGTATATATTATGTATTACAATAACTGTTATTTATTAACTATTTCCAGTTAAATTAAGCAGTTTTCATACAGCGTTAAAACCACCAAAAGGAAGACGAAAACACACATTCTCAACATAATTTACATTTACTACAAAGTTAGCATACACTTACATTGTACATAGTTCACAACAAAATAAGTATAAACACAAAATATATGACTCATAAAATGAAACAGCAGTGCTTTGTACAATCACAAGACAATAGTGATAGAGGGCGCATCCATACAATGTTATGTGGACTTTGTTGGTGCGTCTAAGGCGTTTGCCAGCTTCCTCTCTGTCGGGGTAAGAATCTCATGCTGAGCTGCTCGGCCTCCTCCTGATGCTCCACAGGCTGCTGGGAAAGGTTGTTGGTCTGTGGGAGGGAGTCCAGGGTCAGGCCCTCGTGGAGGCAGACAGAGTACTGCGAGAGCAGAGTCGCCAGGATGGATTTCATCATCACCATGGCGACATGCTTGCCAACGCAGGAGCGAGGGCCCGAGCCGAACGGCTGGAAGTAACGGCGAGGAGTCTGGAAAGAGGACAGGCGGCATGTTGAGGGGGAGGAGTGAGCAGAGAGCCGATTGAAATGGTCGAGTTTTAAAAAACGAAAACTCAAAGCTGCACCTTCAAACACTGTAATCACTCAGGCAGATAACGAATGCCATATTTCAGTTTCTCTACAGCTAATATTTTCAGTCATTATCCACCGTAATCATCAATGTTTCCAGCAGTTGGTTAGACTTTCACATGCATAAATAAGGATTTTCTTCTGACACGATTCATTTTGCAGACTGAAGACTCAAAATGTTGCAGCAATGCCTCGCTGAAACTTCTGCCAAGTGGTTTAATCAGATTTTAATCCACATCAATGAGGATAGTAAAGAGGAAAAAAAACAACAATCAAACAAGTTTGAAAATGAAGTTTGCTCCCTTACATTTACACATTAAACATTTAAATTAGAACTACAGCAGTCTTTAAAAGTTTGTTTTTGGACCGTGAACCTTCTCACCACTCACATTCTTCTGGAAGTTCTCCAGACTGAATTCGTCCGCCTTGTGGAAGAACTCCGTCCGGTGCATGCGGCCCGTGTTCAGGATGATATTTGTGCCCTTCGGCACCCGGTAACCGTCGATGACATCATCCGACAGCGCTCGCCGCATGCTGAAGTCCACCACCGGGTGGAAGCGCAGGCACTCGTTGATGAAACTCTCCAGCACTTGCAGCTTCTGCAGGTCCCCATTCTGCATCTGTCTGTCGCCTTCAAGACAAAAATCTTATTTTATTACCAGAAGCTGGGATATTCCACAGCTAAGTGACTAAGAAAGTTGTCTGAAATAAATGTCAGGAGAAACAACTGAATGCAACCCTTTTAGTTTAGTGTTGAATCCAACTCACTTGAAAGCATCAGGCTTGCCGCTTTTGCAATGCAACACTACAGTGTTTAATGCAGCGCGGTGAGCAGCTCACCTATGACGGTGTCTATCTCCTGCAGCAGCTGCAGCTCCACATGGGGGGTTTGTTTGAGGAGCAGCAGCATGAAGAAGAGGCTGATGGACAAAGTGTCCGGAGCAGCGATCACCATCTCCAGCACGCATTGCCTCACGTTCTCAGCCGACAGCTCGCCTTGGTTCTGGGAGCAAAGAGATGGGGAGAAAATAATAATTAAAAAAAATAATAAAACACTCAAGGCTTTGTTTGGAACCATGCAATTATTACACCAACTTGTGCAAAGATGAGGTCTGCCGTGAAGTTGATGTCCAGCTTATCTGCCTGCTCCATTTCTCTCCTCTTTTGTTCCACGAGGCTTTCTATGGCATCCTGAAGCTCCTGGCTGTGAGAAGGTAAATCAATGTTGCCTTGCCGTTAAAAATAAACCCCTACAGGTCAACATATGCACACGACAGCACACTGACTCACGCTGCTGTCTTGTGTCTTTGGTGAATCCAGCCAAACTTGAAGTAGATGTCAGGTTTGATCAGCACCGTCTGCCATGTCTCGAAATACCTGTGAATCTTCAGCAGCAGCTCTTTCTCTGCAGACGACACAAACGGTTAGCTCAACGTGCTCTGAAGCACCACTTCGTTTATTTTATGAGACGCCCGGCTGTATTCACCGTCGAGAGGGATGTCCAGGAAGAGCCTGTTGGAGATGTCAACCACAGTGCAGCGCAGCAAACTGAGGACGTCCACGTGAGCCAAGCTGTCCAGGTTGTCCAGGTGGGTCTGCGTGGAGGACACACAGACCTCCACCGTCTGCTGCAGATTGGGACCTGTCAGGGCTAAAACAGGGGGTGCGGGGGTTTGTTTGTGATTTACAGTCGTGTGAACTATCTGCACTCCACAGAGCCGGTTTGAGGCTCTAAGAAGATACCTTTGACAAAATAGGTGCGTATCTTTTTCCACAGGGCCACGTTGTTGTTGAAGATGATGCCTCTTTCATTCATGCCGAGGCAGCTGAGTCCTGGCTTGCTCCCAAAACGGGAGGTGTATTTTCCATTCTTCAGAACATGATTAACTGCTGAGGCCCTGAGGAAGGGAGAGAAAGAGATGCACCGGTTGTTATAAAAGTTGATCAGATGTGTACAGCGTATTTAGCGTTAAAGAAGAAAACCAACCTGCTGAGTATAAGGGTCTCCTCTCCGTTGATCCAAACTCTGACAATGTCTCCGTATTTCTTGTTGTAGTAGTTGCTGGCTGTGCCAATCCCAGTCCAGATAAATCTCAAATACGATAAATGTGGACCAAAACCCAGGCAGAACGAAGGGCCTGTTGTGGTAGATGACAGTGAATTTCTTGGAGCTTGCTCTAAGCTCGTTGTCTGAGGCTAAGAAACTAAAGCCGGACCTACCTGGAACCGTGTTTTTCTCCGTGTGACTCCAGGCCACCACTAGCAGACAAACGAGAAGAATGAGGGTTCTTGTTGCTATCGGGATGCCAGGTGACAGGTGTGCTGTGGCATTTAAGGAAAGGGACACCAGGTCTGTCACCGCGCCATCCATATCCACAGTAGACATGGTCCCGCCACAGGAAGGGATCGAATCCATAAGACGGAGCGAACAAAACGGCGTCAACGAAGCTCCTCACGCCCAGCCAGTGTAAAATGATGAAAGCTGCCTGAGCTTTCTCTTTATAGGCTCTTTGAGCTGGTGACAAGCCAGGTCAGGGTAAAACAAAAGCCACAACATCTTTGGAAAATGGTAAACAATACAGGGAGGACCTTGAGAAGCTGGATTTGCGCCTGTGCCCTTCAGCGTACAGGTCTTAGTTGAGCGAGTGCATGTTGACAGGACCATTTGTTTGTCGTTTTGTTGATGAGAAGCATCGAGTCGTCCTTTGAACATCAGAGGAATGTGATCCTACGCACAACAGCTGGTTTCAGAGTGTATGGGAAACCCCGTGTTATCGCTGCCATTATGGGAGGTTTATCTCTGCAGCCAAATTCGTTGGTAGTTTTCGTCTTTGCAGGCCAGGCAGCGCTGATAAAGTTGGGATGATATACTACAAGCTCACTTTTTATTTAATATGATTTGTTGCTTTCGGTTTGGTCAGATTAGGGTTTCTAAGAGCTTCACAGGGTCTGCTTCCTTACTCATGAATCACTCAAAATAAGCGATTTAAATGAGGATTTCGAGATCTGTTGTTAAGGTACAAATGGGATAAAAAAGTTGCTTTCATTAATCGTTTGCAAATATATTTTTTTATGCATTTGCCTCAGACATCACCTTAAAACATCTGTTTTCCTCAGTTTTAAATTCATTCACATACTAAGCAGTTGTTTCCCTTTCCTAAACTTCATAGTTTCACCTCAGACCTACACGTTACCTGCTACACCCTGTTAATATTAGCGCCTCTCTTAGTATACTATAAAACCGGCAACACCATAATACCACCACCACATCTCACAGATGGATAAAACTTTTATAAAGAAAGGTAGAAATTCGTGCTGCTTAGGAATTTTTTTTTTTTTTTCGTCTAATGATAATCACCAACAGCTTTCCTGGGTTTAGGAAGCCAATTTGTTCTCATAATGCAATTCAACAAATATGATTTTTTAGAATCAAACTTTGAATTTTATTGTTTATAGAAATCGTCTCTTTCATGATTATCGTTCAGTTGATTGAGAAACATTGAAGAAATAAAACAGTGTGCACTCTTTGTTGGAAGCAAAACTTTCTGCCTTCTTGAAATATAAATAATGTAACATACATAACGCCCTCCTTTAACATCTTGTTTTGGGTGCTGAGGGTTGTAATTCAAGACAAAGTCCACAGTGTTTGGCTTCATCTCTCCCTTTGCCGTGTTTAGTCGCTCTGCATGAAAGGCTCTGTCAGTTCACTCACTGCCCACATTCGAGTTCAAGAATGCGCACGGCTCAAACGCGCGACTGTGCGCTCAGGGCCTGTCACAATAACCGAGGCCTGGGTGACGGCTCAGACCAAGATTGTTCTGCATGATTAGGCAACGGCAGCCCCTCGGTAAACTTGTCTCTGGGTTCAGGGCTGTGGTCAACCACAACTTTGTCTTTACTGCATCTGAACATTAGGCGATGGTTGAACAGTTAAATGTTAGATGATGAACAAATGTTTGCCTCTGTCTTGCAATCAAAACTTACAACTTTAGAACCATTTGCCTAACCTTAACTAACCCTAACCCTATCTAACCCTAACCCCATCTTTGCCCATATTTTATGACAAAAATATGAAAAATGTGCACTGGAAAATGTGAGTAGACTTCGGTTTAAATCACCAACGACTTACTTAAGAAACTTTGACAAATGTAACTCATCAAGTTTAGGAGGGGTTTGCAGGGCTGGAAGAAAGATACGATAATGGAGAGAAGATCAGCCCTAAGCTCTCATAAAAACGTGGAGCTAGCAGCCAGAGAGTGCAGTGTTATGGTCCGCTCCCTGAATTTTGCAATTAACTTCACTTACTGTATACAGTAGCAGAAACTTTTAAATCTTACAGGCATATTTATCCTGAGTCTCACAGGATTCAATATGATTTAAAATGTTTTCATTCTAGTAAAGTTTAAACTTTTATGATGTTTTAACAGCTGCAGCTGCTTTCTTTGATTAAGATTTTCTCTGTAAAACAGTGTTTTAATGCTCATCATGGCTTTTTTTTTTTTTTTTAGCTGGCCTCCTCTCTGAACTGTACCAGACAGATTTTAATAAAACTCAACCTTGCAAGCACTGAGCAGGAGAGTGAACTTTCCTTGAACATACGGCAGGTTATCTCCGTATCCTTCATAAACTCCTGAGTCCAACTGCCTGGAAGAAGACATGAAGATGCTCTGCAGGAAAATCATTAAACCTGGAGATGATCACAAAACACAAATGTTTACTTTGTAAATTTGAAACAGCGTCAGCTATAGCAACATCTTCAAGTCGAGCCATCTGTACAGGAGTCGACATTTTCCTTTGGCGTTCATCTGCCAAATGGAGGCTTCTCTCTGTTTTTTATCAGCTAAGCTTGGGGCAGTGAATGACGCGCAACAAAGGAACAGCCTCCATGTTTTTAAGACATTATCTGTGTACATGTCTACACATCTGGAGGAGCAATTCAAGCTGCTTGTCCGTGACCCACAGCCTCAGGCATGAGCCCCCACGCTAGCTCTAAAAGCAGTAGTGAGAATCTGCTTTCTTCCTTCATCCATGTGAAATCTGTACGTCTTTATCCGCCAAAGTTACAGAAAGTAGCTGGAAAAGGCATCAAGTCTGTTTCAGTGAATATCTCCAGAAAAGTTAAGTGATTCGGCTTTGAACAACTCCAAAGCGGTACCGCTACCAGCTCTGAGATCTTTCAGTGTTTTAGGAGGTCGTTATTTATGTAATTCCCTCCTGAGCTGTCACTCTTCAGGTGAAATGTCCCCGTCGTGGACCAAATCGAAGGAAAAGAAATGGGTCAGTGGTGCCGTCGGTGAATGAAAGCCGCAAAGATGTGACAGGCTTGAGGAGCCGGAGGGGAGAGGAAGACAAAGGCGCTCGGAAACCGAGGGAGATGAACCAACTTAGAGGCGCCGCGGTGACATTGATGTTCTCTGATGTTGTCTGCTTTCTCTGAATTCAAATTATGACGCGACGTCACAGAACTTTGTCCAGGGCGCATTGAATGTTTGCATGTGTTATGCATGTGAGCACCGCTGCGTGTGCATCACACAAAATGTGCATGCGTGTGTTGATGTGCGTGATGTCAGTCTGCCCACGGCGGTGCAGTAAAATGGCTTCTGATGAATATAAATCAGGTGACTGAACAGGCCGGGGTTTCTTCCCAGACCAGCTCAGAAGATTGTGTAATGCCCACTCCTACGCTGGCCGTGCGCGCACATACACACTACCTCTGCTGCAACTGGGTGAACAGCACATCCACAACTGTGTTTACCAGTCAGTCTTCAGATCAGACCACCATGGTAGAGGGTACGCACTGAGGCTCACCGGGGTTATTTGGAGCGCTCGAATGGTTTTCTTTTGAATTCAACCGACCACAGTGATTTGGTATTTTGGACTTCCGAGCCTAAGCTGGAACTTCATCCTCCCGTGAATGTTGAAGCAAGCTGTGGACCCTCAGAAACCAGGAGGTGAGGTTCTGACAATGTGGATCCCAACCCCCAGCATGACCGTCTCGCAGCGGATGGTGCTGTACGGGACGTGCGTGGTGGCGCTGGTCAACTCCGTGGGCCTCCTCGTCCTCATGGTCCAGCAGAGTCAGCAGCACGCGCGGCTGGAGCAGACCGAAGCGAGGCTGGCCGAGGTGGAGCAGAGCTCGGTGGTGGAGTTCTTCCAGGAGGTGCCGAGGGGAGCGGCGGGGCTGCGAGCGGGCCCCGGGGACCGCTCGCAGTACCAGCAGTACTCCAGGAACAAGAGGAGCGAGGAGCTGGAGAAGGACCTGCAGCGGGAGCGTCACCATGACGACGAAGGGAAGGGGTTACGCCTGAAGGAGGCCAGCCAGGAGGTCGGGGAGGAGAAGGACGAGATGAAGCACGAGCTGAAGCACAAGCACCGACACGGCCAGCATTACAACACACAGGATGACATGATGATGATGATGACTTACTCCATGGTGCCGGTGAGATGGTTGAGCTGTTGATCATTTCGTTAAAGTCAGCCACCTTCCTGTTTTAAATCCTGTATTTAAATCCAATTGAGCTAAATTGGTTTGTTCCATCATCACAGGCTGCAGATTTGATTTTATCCCAGTTTATTATGAAGCATCCGAGACGATGAGCTGCTTAACGCAATCTGCAGATTACAAAACTACTACAGCAACAGGAGAATTTTTCAACCAATAAGATTCCGACATTGTTATTCGTACAGATCAGCATGGGCTTTAATCAAAAATAATGTTTATCTGCATGCATTTTAAAATCTGCTCACATTTTAATCCAATGCCCTTCACTATAATGGTAAATCTAGATATTCCTTCTTCCTCTGCAGATCAAATTGCTGATTGACATCTGCAACAGCACTAAGGGAGTCTGCCTCGCTGGTATGCCTTCATGAACTAGCTGCAAATTTACATGTAAAGACAGAGCTGACACTTTACTCATTAACGACCTCACACTTTGCTTTGCAGGACCGCCGGGGCCGCCGGGTGAGTGAAGCCTTACATCTTAAACCCTAATCTGAAATGCCACCTATTTTTCTTTCCCATTAGTGGAGGAGCTGCTTGTCTGCTAATTTATTTATTTTTTCCATTCAATCTATTTATTGTGTAGGTCTGCCTGGTGCAGACGGCTTGCCAGGCCACAATGGGACCGATGGCATCCCAGGACTGAATGGACTGCCTGGAGCGGATGGAAAAAGAGGGAAGAAGGGTATGGAGAGAGGGAGGATCTACTCTGGCCATTTTTATTAAAGCTCCAGGCAGTTATGGACATAATAGAGAGGAATTACTGGCATAATGGAACAATCAATGGGCTAAAGATAACCTGAGGTTAAAAAATCCACTACCAACAAACGCGCTCTTCTCGAGAATTCAGATACATGTGGGATAAATAAACATAAGCCCAGTTCACAGGCTGCTTGGCAACATTTTGGGGCTGAAAATTTTTTGTAATCTTGTAATACTCTGTTATTACATATTGTTTTTACACTTTTGAATTGTAGTACTACATCCTTTCACTTGAGCAAAGGCATGACTTTCATAGTGCAGTTTTTTTAAATACAACCATTAAGTTAATGAAGGATTTAAATAAATAAGTAAGTAAATAAATACATATTAATTAGGTTTATGGCACATAATGTCTGTTCTCTCGGATCCAGGTAAGACAAGTAAGACAAATCAGCTGGAAGGCTGCTTAAAATCAACATTTCAGTTTGGAAAAGTTGAGGCTCAATATGGCTGCTGCATGTTTGAAACCTGAAGGTAGCTGCAGTAATAAACTGAGCATCTCAGATGGTTTGAGCCTCATTAAATTGTTGGCATACTAGAGGTGTGTGATGCTGCATATTTTGGTATGAATCCAATACCAAGAAAATACAGAGTCCATATCGTCAATATCGATATCGGTATAAATATTTTTCATTAAGTTTGACATGTTGTCAAACTTCTGCTGACCTTTAGGTGCTTCTGTACTTTTTTTTTTTATTATTTTGTTTAAACTTTGGACAGCATTTGGACAACGTTAATAGGTTTGTGCGAAAACGTTAATGAGACACTGACATGATTATTTTGCTGTTTTCCTAAATAAAATGTAAAAATGATCATTTGAGAGCAAATCAAAACTTTTTTTTTTTTACGTAGAGTCTCAGCTCTACCTCAAACTATGACTAGACTATGATACAAAAATAAAATAACATTTTAAGAGGGAATCTGTAACTAAAGCATCGTGGAAATGTTGTGTTTGATTCTTTCACGCAAAGAAATATAATGTTTTTGGCTCTTTATGTAAACACAGTAAATCTGCAACAATAAAAAGGGAATGTGTTGATTGCTAAGCCGTGTGAGCAGACAAACTGTAACTGCAGATGGTATTTTTTTCTTTTTGCTAGTTCACCTCGCTTAGTCAGATATTTCAATGCTGCATTGTCTTACTCGTGAATGGCAGAGGAGGTGGAAACAGCTCTTTTTTTCCTCACATTTCCAGCAAATATTACTCATTACTGTGGTTTTGGCCTTCAGCTGAATGACTTAGGAAAATCTCCCAATTCTCCCCCTTCCACTTCACAATGGATCGCATTATGGATGCAACAAAGCCTGTGTATTAGTATGTCACAAAAAAATGTCAGTGTGTTTTGGTATACTGGATGGTTTTCTGCTGTTTAACATGATGTCCTCTACAGGACCTCCGGGTGAGAAAGGAGAACCAGGAGAACAAGGAGAACAAGGAGAGCCTGGTCCACCCGGAGAAGCATATGAACCATCCAATGATGTCATTGTTGAGGGTAAGGAGACAGTTTAGAAGAAGTCTTTTCTTAAATTGCAAAGGTTAAGACATCTTCATGTTGCTATCTTTTGTTGCTCAGGGCCTCCTGGTCCTCCTGGCCCTCCAGGGCCTCCTGGACCCATGGGACCTCCTGGGCCTCAAGGGCCTCCTAGGACGAGGCACCACAGAGCTCACCTGCAAACCGCTCATACTCTGGGTAGACTTGAACTCTATATAACCTTAAAGCTGACGAAACAATCATCCCATATTTCTGAATTTGACATGTTTAGTGCTAGAAGGTTTCAAGCACTTCAGCATAACTTTCAGGAGTGAGAAGGGAAGAACATTAAACCGATCACACTGTCCGACAGGGTTGTTGCACGCCGTGCCAAACGACGAAACTTTGACCGTGAAACAAGCTGTGAAACTTCACGAAAAGCCGGTTAAGAACGGTGAGCGTGTCTTTTTTCCCCACAGCGCTAATAATCAATGACCTACAGGCGTAAACATCTAATCGTGTTTTGTTTTCCCTCAGAGTGCCTCATCAAGTCTCTGATAAATCCCAGAATTGTGGCGAAGATGGAGAGCACGTTTGGCACGTGGATGAAAGACACAGCTCACCTGGACGACGAGAGGATATGGGTGGCAGAACACTTCTCAGGTGAGCCGCTTTGACTCTCCGTTTCTGCCAAGGAGTCCTCACACCGAGACGGTGGTTGGGTGAACGTTGTGCCTGAAACTCCCTCAGGCCGCATGGTGAAGGAGTACCAAAGCATGGCTGCTTTCCAGAACGGCAGCAGCGAGACGGTGGATGTTAGGAAGTTTTACCAAGGCTGCGGCCACACCGTCCACAACGGCTCTCTCTACTATCACATCGCTGGTACTTCTACCATCGCCAGGTACGTGTTATTTGTCTTAGAGCGGTTCCATCCCAGTTTCAATGAATTCACCACTTTTTGGTTTGCCCCTTCCCAGATTTGACTTCAGAACCAGGCGGCTTCACACTCTCTACGTAGACAACGCCTTGTTCAACAACCTGTCGTATCTGCTGACAAACTCCAAGACCTATTTCAAGATGGCGGCAGACGAAAACGGCCTGTGGTTGATATTTGCCTCGGGAGCGGATGAGAGCATCCTGGTAGCCCAGCTGGACCAGAAGACCTTCTCCGTCACGTCCTACATAAACACCACGTACCCCCGCACCAAGGCCGGCAACGCTTTCATCGCCTGTGGCGTCTTGTACGTCACCGACACCAAGGACGCCAGAGTTACCTTTGCTTTCGACTTGCTGAAGGGGAAGGCAGTGAATATGACATTTGACTTGAGGTCTCCTGGGGGAGTTTTGGCTATGCTCTCCTACAGCCCGAAGGACAGACACCTGTACGTTTGGGACCAGAGCTACGTCAGGCTCTATGTGGTCCATTACATCTCTGATGAGTGATAACCGCAGACACAACCATTACGTCATGCTCTCGAAGCAAACCCCGTGTTGATGTTGACACAGTTATTGCACTACTAGATTTAGCGGGAAATATACATTAGTCTTCATTGTCATGTGGAACATTTATCCAAATGAGTCTGAACAGATTTTAAATAGTTTTTTTTTTCTACAGGAAACTGACTTTATATTGTTTGTGCGTTTGTTCTTGCATGAGTTGAAAGTGGTATTTCAGTGTTACTAATAGACTGAACTCGTTTTTTAGAATTTTGTATTTTTTCACTTTACACACTTTTAACATTTCAGTATCTTTAATGTTGCAACTTTTAACAAGCACCAAAATCTCCTTAAACACCAAAAATAACTTGTTTTCTCCACTACAAGTAAAAAAAAAAAAAAAGCTGTGATAAATACCTGTTGTTGCGAACTGAACCAATGATTTACCTTCTGTCTGTTTTTGATGATAAATGCATGGCAATCCATATTTTGTAGAAAGTTTATACCCCCCAATTATCCATATCCATGGCAGATTTACATTTAAACTTTATTTTACCAACATATTACTTCCAATTAGAAGTAATATTACAGTTTGTTGTGGCTGTAGATACAATGTGGAAATATGTAAATAAGCAGTTAAAAAAAAGGAAAACACTCAGATTCACTTCCTTTCAGAAACAAACTTTTTGTTAAATGAAAACGATTTTAAAGCAAAATCTGCCAAGCATATGGATAATTTTGGCCTTAGCCGCAACGTTTGCATGTTTTCTACAGTTTGTGGTGAATCAGCATCAGTGCTGACTGACTACGCCTCTCAATAAAAAAAAACTTTTAAAAAGAAAAAGAAAGCAAACCCGATGAAATAAAAATCATTTATTCACTTTACAAAGGTAAAACTGTTACCTTGACCCGTCTCTCACAAACACCCCCAGGCTCCATGGCCCTGGCAAACATCTAACGATGATATTGGCTTTCTTTGCATGCACACGCGCACACGCACACACACACACACACACACACGCACAACGAACAGCATTGGTAAAACTCCTAAAACACATACAGCACATGTAGTGGGCAGAAAGAGGGAGGAACACTAATCTCTTTAATAAATACCACACACTTAACAAAAGTCACAACTAATCCAACTGGTATGATACAAACCAAAAAATAAAGAAATGTCTTCATGTTTGTACAAGCTGTTGTTGTAGTTCGTACTGTATATATATATATATATTTATATTTATATAGTAAAACTATCTTAAACGCTTTACTACCAGGGCAAATAAAGCCATACATTCATTTGTATACAACAGTTTCTTTGATAACCTATATATTTGAAATAAACTTTTAGTGTCTTCTTAATTTGAGTGCAAATATCTATTTTCTCATGGATGAAATAAAAACAGCTGGCGAGGTAAACACACAAACGGTAGACTGTTGCACGTCGTCCAATCGGAAACAGTGAAAGCTCTTACATTCCTAAAATTAAAGGCAATAAGTTAAAACAGTTCTTCAAAGGAACAGTAAACCAAACACAAACATATAAATACTTTAAATATTAAACTCAACTCAATTAAAACAACAACAACAACAAAAGAAAACAACCCACAAACATACAACCGATATCGTTTTGTGCAAAAACCAGCAGTGAACCTTTGTGTTTCTGCTCTGGGCGGTCGGGTGTTTAGCGTTAGACGACACAGATGAAACACTTAAAGTTACAGTCACGGGGGTGGGGGGCGTTCGATGTTCTAGCAGGGAGGCTGTCGCACTAACAGGCAGGCGGGCGGGTCGGTAGGCAGACACGGCAGAGAGAACACACACTTGGATCGGGTCGAACTCAAACCTGGAGAGGCCACAGTGAGCGATGGGCAGCCAGTGATCAGTGGACGGAGGGGGCGGGGAAAGGGGAAGAGAGGCGTCGCCGTTAAGAGCGACGCTCTTCGGCGAGAAGCCGGAGGGGCCAAAACTATTGAAACGAAAAGCAGATTCCAACGACTCGAATCACACTGGAAACCACTGACTTAATAACGAACCACAGAGCTGGTTACAGTAGATGCTAAAAGATTTCAGCTGTGGGCACAAAATGACGACAGTTACACACTTTTTTAAAGTTTTTGCTTGAGCACTTTTACAGAGCACTATCAATAGACCTGTGATTGCACCGCGGAACGAGAACAGGACATGCATAACTTCCCTATGGACACACTCTATGAGAAGAGATTCATCAATAAAATTACAACAAATCTAGCTTTTAAAATCAAGTATGATACCGTTTTGCTTGTAACTTTTTGTTTTCAGCCTTCGGGGGCGAAAAGAAACGTTTGCAGCTCTGGTTTTGTCGTTCTGGACGACACCTACTCCCGCAGTAAACCCATGACCTCTGCGCACTCAAAGGTGCCAAAAAGCGTGGCAAGCTGTTGACGAACTATGCTCACTTAAAGGCCGTTTGACGAGCCTTCACATTTTTTTTTGCTTGTCTTTTTTTTTTTTTCTACTTGTCTTTTTCGTCTTTGGACCGTCAGATGTGGAAGCAGGCATCACAGGATGTCAACGATGCTGCTGGCGATGTTGTAGCGGTCAGGGAGAACCCTCATCTTCAGGGTGCCGTCCGCGCCGCAGGTGAAGATGCGGTTCCCCGGACGCGTCTCCACCTTTGTGACGCCATTGCCGATGTTGCGGAAGATGGACTGCTTGGCGTGTTCGTTGCTGAAGGAGTGCATGAGGCCGTGGCCCGCCAGCTTCCAGACCTGGAGAGAAGAACCCAGATCCAACACCACTGTTTTTTGTTTTGTTGTTTTTTTTTTTTCTCAAATCAACATTTACAAATCTTTTCGTAGAGGATGTTTCACTGTTGTTGTTTATACTGATCAAAGAAACAACTGCACAAGCAAATGTGTCTCGGCCTGATGGCGTGTGAGCATTTAGAAATCTGTTACCTTTTACAAACACCGGAATAAATGTTGGATGTATTTTAGAATAAAACATTTACAATTTTCTTGATTCTAGTTTGCACTTTAGTACCAAGGTTCATTGACTCAATCTACTGTGATTTTGATCTGTAGTTCCACGTAGTGCTATGTAGTTCCACGGGCTTTTACTTTTTGCTTCATTTTTGTTTCTACAAACGGAAACCAGATAGAGACCAAAAGGGGAGTGTCCAAAGACTTACAGGCTGTGGAATGTGGTCCATTTTCTTTCTTTTTTCTTTTTACTTAAATCATAACTACTACTTCGTATTTATTTAAGTTACCATAAGAAATATGTCAATCAGACTTAAAAAAAAAAAAAAAATCCAATAAAAACTGGTTACCTTTATGTTTCCCTCTGCAGAGCCGGTGACGAAGAAGTCCTCAAAGGGATCCAGAGCGAGCGCCTTGATGGCCGAGTCATGGGCCTGGAAAGTGTGCAGCAGCTGTCTCTGGCGGATGTCAAACACACACACAAAGCCTTTCCTGCCTCCAGTGATGAGCAGCTGCTGTTTCTGAGCGTACTCGAGAACAGTGGCCCCGTTCTCATGGCAGGGGAACGCTGAGGGGGGCGGGGAAGAAATATGAAGGGTGCATCACAGAGCAGCTTGTTATGGTGGATTAATACCTGTGGCTCTTATGTTTTTAAACATCAGATTTCTTACCGTGGACTATGGTATTGCCAGGTGAAATCAGAGTGTCCCACAAGCAAACATTTCTGCAAATATTAACATAATAATCAACCTGACTTTTAAAAACAAAACGTCTTGGATTTAGTTTCTCGGCGCGGACGCTTGCCTGTTGTCGTTGGACTGTCCGGCTGTCGCGATCAGGCTGGAGGACGTGATGAACGCAAAATCGCCGCAGGTCTTGGAGTGACACTGCCAACTCTGACAGCAACGAAAGAACAAAAATGAAGAACAGTGATTTCAGGATTTACTTGGAAGCGTTTGTTTTTGTCGCCAACAGTCTGATGTGAGTCGACCTCACCAGGTACGGTTTGGGGTTGGAGGACGTCTGGTTGACCTGCCAGAGACTGAGGAATCCCTCTCCGTCAGCAACTCCGCACTGCAGCAGGATTTCAGAAAAATCAGAACAACCCAGCGAGCAGACAAAACACAGCCAATATTCTCCCTCTTTCTCTGTGTGTGTGTGTGTGCGTGTGTACCTTATTGCCTTGGGTGTTAAAATAGAGCCGGGTGATACGAGCGTTGCCTGCTTGTCTAAAGCAGATGAGCTGCTGCGGCCTGTTCCATTCGAACATCCTCACACTGCCGTCCTGAGCCCCCGTCATGTCTGAGGCACAACGCCGACATGTCAGAGGAAAATTCATCACAACTAACTGTTGAAAGCAGCGAAGCGGAGACACTTACAATACTGATAAACAGGGTGCGATGTCATCCTCTTCACGTTATTCAGATTTCTTTTCATAATCTGGAAAAAAAATAAAGTTAATATTGATAAAGTCTTCTAAAACGTTCAGCAATCCAGATTGGTAAAATTTGAATATAGAGGCTTAATAGAGTTTATGTACATTTATAAATGGTTAATTTATATCAGCTTGGTAAACCGCTCACTTTAAAACTGTACAATTTCAGATACATCTGAAATTATTCAACCCCCTCTGCAAATTAGAAACAAAAAGGATTTAGCATTGCATAAGTGTTAGCATGGCCAAAAGAGGAAGTAAAGGCTGAAACCAGATTCCCGAGGAGGCAGGTGCTCAAAAACTGTTACAGCACCTGGTGGCTGCGGCCACTGAGGTTTCAGTTTCCACAGTAAGGGACGCAACGCACTAAACGAGCCCCACTCTGCTCTGTGGAGCGAGGAATCAAAACAAGAGCGCTTTGAAGCTACGGATGAGCAAAAATAATGCTTGCAATAAAGAACGCTGTGCCTACAGTGAAGCACTGAGGTGATGCTCTGAGACAGGCTTTCGTTCATCTGGCAACTTTTTAAGATTCTTAGCAAGAAAATTAAAAGGTCATCCAAACACATTAGGCGTTAAAAAGAAAATCCTGGTGCTTTGTGTCTGTTAATGTTGCTGTGAAGCATTTTTCTTGTCATTTAGAAACTTTGTTTAAAAAAAAAAAAAAAAAAACACCATACAGCAGCAAAATGTGATATACTCCCTAAAAGTGGAGTAAACGTTTCTGTTTCCTTTAGTCTTTTCTTTCTGTTCATCTCAGAAAGACCCTAACCCATCAAATTTAGCTGAATGCATCATATATAAGCTGAATGTTGCCCCAATATTGAACCACACGTTTCCTCGAATCTATTTTCCATAAAATTGCTCTTGGATGGGTCAAATATTCTACACACGTCAGCACATTTGTCCTAATAAGTAAATAAACCATAATTTAGAAAAACAATCACAAATTTCTAGAAAAATTCCACTTTTTAACTCATTTTTCACCTGCTAAAGATTCAAAAGCAAATACCAGGAACATTATAAAATGATCCCGTTTTTATTGCAGGAAAAAAAAAAAAAAACTCCACAATTCAGCGCAGCGGGGCACGAGGATTCGGATGTGTAGAAAACGACAGAAGCAGAGCAGAGGATCACCGCCTGCCCCATCCTCTTCACTGTATCGCACCGAACATTTATCAGCCTGGCTGGGACGCCGAGGTCTCTGGCTGTAAGGTACTCTGACGCAAATCTGCACCTTGGGCAGACGGCTGCAAGAGCTATCTGAGTTTATAAGCAAGCGATCTCTGCCGCGCGGAGCTGCCCTCTCCTCTGTATCAGCGCTCATAGACTCAGCAGCAGGTCAGGTGTTTAGTCGGCGCGGCTTTGTTTGGCTCGATGTCGATAAGGTTTAAAAACATAGACTTTGTCTGCGGATGAGCGGAGACTTGGAGCTAAAGATTGAACCTGACGTTTTACGTTCCTTCTGCTGTTAGTGAATACGAGCAAGTTTTAACGCATGTAGACCACCAGACCAAAAAAAAAAAAAAATGCTAAGAAGAGTCACTTCATAGAGTTTCACCCATCAGCAGAGTTGGGAAAAGAACCTGGTTTCCCCCTGCTGTTAGAGGCTAGGAACTACAAACTCATCACTGCCTGGTGCAAAATTTTACAACAAAGTAGCTCGTACCACGCTGGCCCCCATGCTGGTCTGACCGCTACCGAGCCACGGCATGGATGCAGAGACCGGCATCGGCGGCGGCGCAAAGGACACAGAGCTTGCCTGGGCGATATTTGTGTGAGAGGAGCGGGGGTCCAAGTCGTCAGAGCTGTAAAGCAAAACAGAGACACATTGTGCAGATTTAGTTGTTTTTTTTTTTTTTGTTTTTTTTTGTGCTACAAGGAAACAACAACAACAACAACAACAACAAAAAATTATTCTTTCATCTGATGCGACTCTGACCTTCGGGATTCCTTATCAAAGTCGTCTCCTATCCAGGTGTAGGGCTGGACGGCCACTAGAGTGGAGACGTCCACCTCCTGGACGTCGTGGGTGGACGCCAACACGATCTCATTGGAGTTAGCCTGAGAAAAGAAGGAAGCAGGGAGGAAGAGGAGAAGGAGGAAGGGCAATGATTAACAGAGAGGAACTGCTTCTAACTTTACTGAAAAAAACACAAAGTTGTTAAATTCAAGACATTTTCTGACCAATGTCAATTCACTTCTTGCATGCTGGCAAAAAAACATACATATTTCCAAAATGTGAAAACACTTACCCAGTTAATGGCAAACGCCATAATTATGTCAGACTCCTTGTGAATGATTTTGGCCTTTCCTCCAGGATAGCCCAGATCTGCCTCTACCTGAACAGCAAAAGAAAAACCAAAGCTGAGGAGACATCAGAGCTGCAGCTCAGGGATCTGAAGCTAGTCAGTAAAAGACAGAGAGATTTGCTCTTTGAAAAGAAGATTAAATTCATTTCCCGGTAAAATTAGTGAAGCAGGAAAGGACTGTAAATTTAAAATGTCGACTTGGGGCATTCGACTTAGAGTTGCTTCAGAAAAGATTCCCGCACCCTGAAGTTTCATTCAAATAAAAGAGAAAGGCCATAATAAGAGTATTACAGATGCATCTTATTAAATTAGAATCATATCAGAAGGTTTATTTATTTCAGTAATTCAATTTTAAGAAATGAAACAGATTCATTACTCAGAGTGATATGTTTGAACCATCTATTTCTGTTCATCTCCATGGTTGTTAATGCTCATATAATCAACAACGTATTCCTCTCTGTATATTTTATTGCATAAAACTAATAAAAATAGATTTTTTACACAGAAATGTCACGACCTATGTTACCTTTAGCAACAGCTGTTATACTGGTTGTGCTAACCCGGTCTTGAGCCAGAAATGATGTCAAAACAACTTAGCTAAACTGAGGCGAGAAAGGACTGGAGGATGGATGTTGTATTTCATTTGGAAATCAGAGTGGCCGGCAGAGGAAGCAGGAAATGCAGTGGGTGACCAACCTCTGCATGTTAGGAGAGGCTGCTAGCATGTAGCCTCTGCATGTTAGGAGAGGCTGCTAGCATGCAGAGGCTACATGCTAGCAGCCTCTCCAAAGCTAACGCAAGTGAGTAGCCTCCTCCTTGTTTGTGAGTATCGTCTGCTCAGTTATCGGTGCTGGTTGCTAAGTTACCGGTGTCGGCCTATCATTAATCAGATTGTAGCCGGCTATGAAATGGATATAACCTCCTGCGACAAGGAAGTTTCCACCACTAGCCTTAATTTTGGTGCTGAAACTGCCCATTTGTTTCAGTAGGCTAACACCTTCTTGCATTAAAAACTATTTTGTTCTAAGAAATTGAATTTTACATTTCTTTTTATGTTAAAATTAGTAGAAACAAATATATATCACTCTATGAGCAGGTAATCTGTAAAAATGTTCCACTTTTTCAAAACTGAATTACCAAAAAAAATTAAAATTTAACTTTCTGATATCACTTTAGTTTATGGAGATGCACCACTGCATGGTAGACGCATGGCTTCAATGTAAGTATAAAATATTTAGACTGCAGATATGAGTTGCTGCTGTAAATGACACTCTGCACAGCTACAAAAGCCTCCCGTAGCCCTGACAGTGAGCATGCAAGTTAGTCGATCTACTGAGTGTGCCATCGCTTGCTTGCTTTAAGTCCAGCAGAATCAGTCCAGTTAGGCAGGAAAAAAAGGAGTGAGACACGAAGGGAGACGTGTTATTTTTAGGATTTGGTTGTGAGGAGAAATGTGAATGGATGTCCCAGTGAGAGGAAAGGATCAAACATCAGATCTAAGCCTAAGAGCCAGGAGGAGATTTTATGGAAAAATAAAAATAAAATCAAAAAGCCAGAGCGGTCACTATTAGGCCAAGCTGGAGAGGAGAAAACCAGAACTTCACCCAGTTTGGTGACGCCACAAACCGCAAAACTAAAACCTTATGCAGCTGGTGCAGCAGACTTTTTATTTTATTTATTTTTTTAAACATTTTCTCCTTCAAGCTTGGCTTTGCAGTGCTGCTCAGAGACAAAAGGGCCCGGGCTGGGACAGTAAATGATACTACCTTATAGGGACTGCTAGCTCCAGCTATGCAGTTTGGGTTTATACGGTCCACATGGTTCTCTAAAGACTACACAACACACAGAGGCAATATAGACACGAAACAAACCAACATGTCACAACACAAAACACATGCACAAACAGAAAAAAAACAAAATAAAAAAAACATGAAATGAAAATGAAGAGGACTCACAGAATGTCATTGTAATCTTGTTAAAAAAATAGAAATAACTAAATTTGTCTATTTTAATAAAGTCCTCGTCATTAGAATGGATGAACAGTGAATCTGAATGTTGTAGCTGCTGCCTGATATCTCACTTGTAATAACACAAGACTAAGCACATGAATCGTGTGGAACGTGTCTCATAGATATAAAAGCTTTTCTTTTCTTTTTTTTGGGGGGGGGAGGTGGAAGGGGGTATAAGTGATTACTTTCTTCCAAACAAATCCAGACATCACAGAAGGCAGTGATCTGTCTTGTGCCTGATTAAAGATGAGAAGTCAAAGCAAAGATAATGAAACTAAGAAAAAACATAAATAGAGAGAAAAAGCTCAGTGGGCAACTTCCTCTGTCCGACAGCGTTATGGTGGACAGTCAGGCCTGCACTCTGTCTGATGGACGATTCCTCACTGGTCCAAATAATCTCACTAAAAGGTCTCAAAAGACATCAAAGCAGGAAGCTTTCAATGCAAAATTGCATGAGCTCTTTGTAGATTGTTTGTTCATACTGGAGGAAAACTGTACTAACATGTGGCAAAATCATAATAAAGACTCAATGGCTTTCTTCCTTTGGCCAAACAAAATGGTGCCTGCTTCGTTTAAATAAGCCTAATTAATCCTCACACTACAATGGTTATTGTAATCTAATGTTGTGATTCTTGGTCTGTTCGTCTAAAAAAATTCAACTGGTTTGCGAGATAAAATGAGAAGGTTAAAAAAGCAACGTCATCAAACACGGATATTTTGCCCTTTCCTTAAAGGAATAGTTCAAAATTTTCAAAGTGGGGTTTTATCATGTACTTATGAGTAGTCAATGTCTTACCTGCAGTACATAACTGTCATTAGATCGCCACGACATTTTTAATCCAAAAGTAAAACCATTTTAAAGTTTTATAAAACAGTTTTTGCCTGTGCCTCTATGACATTTATTAAAATGGAAATGTTTTGTAATGTTTTAATATGTGGACTTGACACCGATTCCAGACTGGAACGTTTTAAGACTTTCTTAAAGAAAACTAGCTTTGTAGTCATGGTTACCAGAAAGCCCATGATGCTTCCATGACTTCTTCTCGTTTCATGGTTGTCTACTTCAAGTTAATTCTAGGATTTATGCTGTGTATATTTTATCTTGCTACATTGGTTTTATTGTCTTATAGCGTTTTGTGTTGTTATAGCTCTATCTGGTGATGTGTATTACAACTTTGCTAAGGCTATAAATGTTAGTGTTCTGTAATTGTTTATACTTAGCATGTGTCCCCATGCAAATAATAATAATAATAATAATAATAATAATAATAATAAACAAAGAAGGAAAGAAAGAAAACAAGCTGAGATCTGACTTTGCTTTAGTCCTGCTCTGATTTTCAACCACATGAAAAACTTTTGTGTTAAATTAAAGTGAGAACATTAAGAAAGTTATTCATCGCAGATAAGACTCTTCATAACACATCAATAAAACCATCACTGGAAAAATCTGAAGGATCTCTTCAAACCAACAAAATAATCATGTTGGAGGATGTTCTTAATTACGGACAAAATATGGAATAAAATTGATCCAACGGGCCAGATCAAATAAAGAACCATTTAATAAGTAGATATGTTGTTTTTAGTCAGCTAATCAGGGAAAACTGAACTAGGATTTTCTTTATGAATCTTCTGCTGACCTCACTCTGCTTCCTTTTCTTGGTAAAGATGTAACGAATCAAAGCCTCCTGGAGAACTTCCTGTTTGACCAGGAAATGCCAAAGACGTCGAACTGGGAAGGACTGATGGCTCTTATTCCTGGAAACAATAATAGGGCAAAAAAAGATCCAGTTAACTTTTTAAAATTAAAATTTGATTTTTCCAGCAATTCGTAAAATACCTGCCAGAATAGTATCTTCCCCCCCAATAATTGTGTGTAAACAAAAAACATCTGGCTTTGATTTTCAAGAGCTCACAGCATCCAGTCATAAGTATACATATACAAACTGTAGGCAATTGTCCCCAAATTGTATGTAAGTGCGTCAGAGTAAAGGGGTCTGAATACAAATGCTTGTGAAATTAGAGTCTTGAAATAAAAAGGACATTGAATGCACTAACTTGAAGGGCGTGTTGTCTGGCTCCAGCATGGCCTTGTGTCGCAGTATGGCGGGTCCAGATCCCGAGCTCAGGTCAGTGGGGTAGGTGTTGATGTAATTGGGAGGCGGACCTTCAAACTTGTTCATCCGCTCCAGTAAAAGCTGTTCCCAGTTCTCCAAAGTCTTCAACACTGCGTTGCTGAGAGGGGAAGTGACTGGTAGATCTGAGATCACCGCAAACAAAGAGAAATGGTGTGCTTAAATACAGTCAGAAGTGCACTGATATGCTGCATGTGTGGGTCCACATTAGATTTAAGCAGAGTACCTGTGAAGTCAAGTCCAGTGAGAGGGATAAAGTTCTTGACGTTGTGATGAGCCAGTTTGACCATAACCAAACGGATCAAAGTCCAGCTGAGAAAAAACAAAACAAAACGGTAAGACTTCAACCTGAAACACCGGCTCAAAAAAGAAAGTTATATCTAAGCAGGAAAAGATGGAGCCAACCTGTAGGAGCTGGAGTCCGAATGCTCTGTCATCTGTGTGTCTGAGAGGAAGGCATCGTCATCATCGTCGTCATCCTCAGCGCCACTTTCGTCTGAATCATACAAAGCATTGCTCTCTGAGAGCGGGAGGAAAGGCTGAGAGGAAGAGAGGAAGGTAAGCGGAGAGAAAAAAAAAATGCCCGTTTTATGTAACGCGGAGGCTGTGCGTCACACGAACCGCTTGTCAGGTTAATGTCTTACTTTCGCTACGAAGTAGTCCCACATGCTCAGCTCGGGGGGAATGAACTTCTCTCTGTAGGTGGGCCTCTCTGCAGGCACAGGAGGCGGGGTGGCGGGCGTCTCCTTCACGGGGCGTCCAGGAACCAGCATCCTCATGTTGAATCTGCGCCTGTATCGGTCCACGTCCTCCGCAGGCGGCTGAGGGGGGGCCGCTGGCATGTGAAGGAGCGACAAGGAGCTTAAGATATTTACGACTGACCTCAGAAGAGGAAAGCTGTCGGGGAGGCTGCGAGAAGAATGAGGATGAGCTTAGACTCAGCCTCATTTTCATTCCAGAAGCAGGTGAAAAGCAGATCAGGAGGAGGAACACTGCATCCACACTCTATCAGGGGCCTAAGCCACATGGACTTGGAGTTAAAACTGCAAACAACAACCTTAGTCATACCAGAAATACCAGCACTGGCTTTGTCTCTTTTACCACCCAAATGAAAACTCAGGCATTTGGGAGAGGGGTGACACATGAAGACAAACACATTTAGGATGGAGACACAGGGCAAGACACTGTAGGGTATGCACAAACCTGCACCATCATCCTGGGTGACTATCTCTGGCATTGCACCAGACAAAACAAGACAACACACAAACCAGAGTAGACAGTGCAGTTAGACACACAGATAACAAAGGAAAATAAATTATCAGGAAGTGATACTTAAAAACACACAAAAAGACATCAAACACAGATGACACATGTGCCGAGAAGTCATAAACAAAGGATTGCCTTCAATCCACAGCACTCAAGTGAGACAGACGTAATTGTCTATTTTATTAAAAAAAGTGTTAAGGATGTCAATAAGGAGCTAAAAATAAATGTTGCTTCTGCATGGCTGTGTTTCTGCAGCATGGAGGTGAGACTGCAGCGAACCTCAAAAGGGCAGAGTTTCAACAAGAGATCTGTTTCAGCGGTCTGACATTTACGATCGTCTGAGCTCCAAACAAGCTCTTTGAAAGCCTCCCGGCCGCGGCTGAGAGCTGCATCGGACGTGACAGAGATGCGCCGTCCAAATGCCAGCTCCAATCTTCTCTCCACACAAAAACAGCTGGAGAGTGAAATACTATTAATGAACGGTGTTCAATTCTGCCCGTAAACCTGGATTTCTAGCAGCACAGGTACTGCATTAGGTTATACGCAGATAAAAACACTTGGTCACGGCAAAAGAGCCACACATTAAATCTATTATTTATTCAATTTCTGCCGTATTTCGCTCATTCAGGACATTGTGTCTTTTAGTTTGACATCTTCCACTGTGCGTGGAAATATTCATATTCAGCTTTTGTGATAATCTCAGCCGCCATTGAAATGAATGAAACATCCCATAATTTCCGGAAAAATTGTGGCAAAATCTCTGCGCTCTTCCACATCTAACTACTTCAGTTAAAAATGCCATTCAGAGTGTAAAATGTAGTCATATCCTTCAACTACTTCTGTTTATTTAAACCTGTTTGTATCGCTTACAGATTTCATAAAATCCCTCTTCGAGTTTCTGCTCAGTCATGCACTCTTTTGTGCTGGTCTACGACATAAAACCTCAAAACCCAACCAGGCGTGTAGTTGTAATGTGTCAAGATGTGAAAAAGCTACGAGGCACAGAACATTCAGAATGAAACACGGCTATAAAAATAGCAGACATACTTCTAGTACTCTAGATAACACATTGTTCTTAAACCCTCTCCGAGTGTACCTGGTTTAGTCTCAGATTCAGATCTAGTCTGAGAGGCCGGCTCAGCCTTGTCCACTGAGCACTCCTGGCTAAGGGCAGCTGTTTAGTGACAACAAAAATGAGCACAGGAGACATTACGACATGAACATGCGATGGTGCGTACGCACACAAATCCACTCACACCCTCACATGGTTGCTGCTTATCATAACAATGAGCACAAATGTCTTCATAGCACTAATCAGTTCTAATGTTCTTGAAGGGCATTCAGCAGGGAGCTTCATGAGAGAGAGAGGCAGGAGAGTCAGTCAAGCATCGGCAACAACGCAAACCTGTACAGTTACCATGCACCGCAATCCTGCAAACCAGCACTGCAATCTACCAGCCTCGTTACTCACAGCTGGCCTTAGTTGCTGGGGCCACAGTGCCCAGCCCCTCTCCCCTTGAAACAGGAGGAGGGGGTCGATTGGGGTGCTGGGTTTCAGTGGGGATGGGAGAGGGGTTTGGGGAGAGGTGGCTCTGCTCAGGTCTTCCTGTCTCCTGAGATTCCTCTGGACTGGCTGCCTCAAACTCAGCTGGCACTGGGACACAGGGCAGAGGGCACACTCACACAAGACACTACACACCAGTGGCAGCAGCAGCAGCAGCATCTTTGGAACATCATCAGGTCAGGGGTAGGTGGATAAAAAAAATGATGGAGACAGACTCCAGAAGGATGGAGCGGTCGCCGCGGACGCGCAAGATGCGATCAGAGTTAGCTGGGATGTGAATACCCAGAGGAGGGCAAAGGGGGATGAGGACGATGTGAGGACCGTGTGAGTGTGAATACAAAACTGCATTTTCTTTTCTTTTCTTTTCTTTTTTTACCTGGTGGAAGTTCAGGCCTCTTTGGCTTAATAATGACTTTTGCTCCTCCTCCGAAGACGGCCGCCCACATGCGGTTGTTGAGGGGATGCGCGGCCAGGCGGAAGAGTTCGTTGCTGTTGTGAGTGCCCAGGCCGTGGATAAGCAGCGAAAGATAAACGGCCACGACCGCCTCGCACAGCAGAACGCTGAGCCTCGGCTGGTCCTCCTCCCTCGCAGACGTCAACAAGGAGATCAGGGACGACACACCTGCAGCGAGGGGTGGGGGGGACACGGTGCTTTTTTTCTTTCCCCAAAATTATTTGCAAAGTCATAGAAAACAACAACAACAAAAAAAAAAAACAGACACAATGAAGAGCTCTTTTATGAAACATTTGCATGATGGCGTGATAAGTCTCTGTCTTTCTATTTCTTTCCTGAAGGCCATGGAGCTCCTATTATAGAACACCATCTGCCTCTCTGCATAAACACAGATTGTCTGCTTTGCTTCCCCCGCCCCACACACACACACACTCACGCACACACTTCCCTCTGCTGTTCACATTTCCTCCAAGTCAACCCTTTGATGCTTTCATATATGCTACTTCCACATCCAGTGAGGATTCTGGAAAATTATTATAGCCTCTGTCATCTTTTTTGGGCTTTTCGAAGTGTGGGGCGCCACAGCTCTACAGGGGGGGCACAACAGCAGGGGAAAAAGATGAGCAAAGTAACTGCAGGTATTTAACCAACTTCCACCAAGCCTGTAGGCCTGTTCATTCATCCAGCCGCTGTTATAAAAGTGCTGGCTGTACTTGGCTGGAGTGAACCTGTCTGGCTTTCACATCCCAAAACGCAACAAAAACCTGATTGGGAGCTTCAAAATTCAGCAGCTTTGTCGAGGATTGTTAATTTTACTGTTGGTGAAATTTGATTATTTTTTTTGAGAAGTTTGTGATAAAACTATTTAAGATCCTGAAATAGGACAACTGATTATTTTCAGTTAATGTTTCAATTCAGCTAAACCGCCCTTGACCCATTCATTAATGTCTGTGGTGTTTTTGGCATCTTTTGAAATGTTGATGTTTCGGGGGAATCATTGGTATAATTTTGTCTGAATTTACGATGTCCATTTATTCATTTATTTATTTCTTCAGTACATTTTGCAACTTAAATCAAGCTCATTGTTCTGTCTGCTCTTTCGCCATAAGCTCTTATAACAAATCTAAAGCAGGCAGATGTTTACAGAAATAATCGCAGTAATGGATGGAGTTTTTGATTCGCTCCCTAAGGGGAGGGTAGCTCTCCTAAATGTGGAAAACACCAAGAAGAGTGTCTGGTTACCAGGCCACTGCGCAGGAGCAGAGTTTGGAGTAACATGTTCTTCAATGCTTTCCGTGCGAAGCCGCTTCCTTTCACTTAGCAGCAGCCCCTGGTACACCATCCCAGTGAACTGGTTGGCTTCTGTTTGACTGCTGAGAGGACAAAAGCAGAGAAAAGTGTTTATTTTCACCATGCAGGAGTTTAAGTCAAGTCTCTCGCTGACTGATGGACCTGTGGTTACCTGTAACTGTGACTGTCACATAGGGCTTGGTAGACACAAGCAGAAAGAGACGCTGCTAGCGTGTGAAGAGCATTTACCTGAGGATGAAAGAATAGTTGTTATATCATGGAAATGAACAACAAATACAAGGAAAAGCTGCACACTTCAACTCCAGCAGCATTTTCCTTAGAAAGAAATGTTTTTGGCAGAACATCGGGCTGCATTCAAACTCAAGCACACATGAATTGACAAGAAGCTTGCAACTTGTTCTCCGTCTTAAGCATCAGTGACATTTGGTACTGATGGTGCCAAATGTTTTCCAAGCTGCTCTCAAACTTCTGCCATAAAATATGAATAGAGATGAAGAGAAAAAAATCCACTGCTCCAGTTTTCAGTGCTTTAAGGAAAAAAAATAATCATCTTAGTTACGACACAGAGTTTCTGTAAGTTAGCATATTTTTAACAAGAAGTGCTCCGAGTGGTCACGAAATCATAATTTCCTCAATCCCCACAAGTTTCAAATGTAAAAATTCCCGTTTCGAGTCCTGACCCGATCGTCGATGACGTCCGGATGTGGCGGAGCCTCCATCATTGTGATGGTGTAGAGGATGTCGTGGATGTGGTTGCTCAGGTGGAGAACGGGATTGGCTATGACCGTCTTGGTGGGGGCGATGCACGCAGACAGCAGGGGCAGGGTTGTAGGCAGAGGCAGCGGGGACTGCAGCTGCTTCACCGTGGTCTCCTACCCAGACACAGATGAGGCGTTCGAAACCGTGCCAAACATTCAAGCAGGCCAATAAAAGATTGTGAATGGCAGCGTGTGGCGCACCTGCTGGCTCTCCTGCAGAAGGAAGAGAAGCTCCATACGGACGGAGGTGACCCCTCCTCCTTTGGCTCCGTGAAGGCTGCAGTAGGACAGGAAGACCCTCAGCAGGGCCTGGTTCTTCCTCAGCCAGGCTTTACGCCTCTCAGAGTGCTGCTGCTTGGCTTGAAGGCGACGTCGCTCCATCTGGTGACGCTCGTAAGCCCCGGCCTCCATGTTGTCCAGCGCCTCGTCTGAAATGTCCACAGACGCCGTACGGTCCCTCTCGAACTCTGGGCCTTCCTCTTTTCCCTCCACCTGTGTGTTTTAACCAATACGTGCAGAGAATTACTAAATCAGAAAAGACGGGCAAAGCTTTCCTTTTCTCCCCAGCTGAGTTTGTTTTCTTGGAGTTTACCTTGTAGTTGCAGATCTTGTGCATTGCTGCAATCTCCTTCTCCAGCCAGCTGTAGAGCTGGAAGCGGAGCTTCCCTCCATCTACCTCGAAACCCGTGGCCAGCGTCCGCAGCTCGGTCATCAGGATCTTCAAACACGCACGAAACTTCAGCTGCTCTGCAATCACATCCACTTCGGACTCACCCTAAAAAACAGGAAAACTGAGTGTTTAGAGGTTTTAAAAACTATATAAAAAATCAGTCCTATAAAGTATGAAATATAACATCATCTTCTAATAATAATCCTCTAAGCCATGATTTTCACTAAAAGTACTTGGGCTGCTTTTAGTGTCATAAAGAACAAATCTGGCTATTAACTGTTTGCAAGTTAAATACAAACATATTAACTTTGATACAGTACATGAGTGTTCACCAGGTTTAAATACAGCTGGTAGCCGGTAAAAAGATCCCTTACTATAATGCAACAGATACAAGCTGTAGTAGAAATTGAAAATGATGGAAAAGATGACAGGAAGACCAACACAAGGAAAAGAGGCCAAAATGGACATTTTACAGAACAGCGACAAAGAACACAGGACATTTGGATTGAGTAAAAGAAAATAAAGATTGACTTTTTGGGGGGATTGCTGCTCCCAACTCAAGACGTTTGTTTTATGTGTATGATTGTTGTATATACAGCAGTTTGTTCAAATGGATTATGAAAAGAAAAATATGAATATTAAAGCAAAGTGGAAACAAAAATAAATAGATTTCATCTGTGACTGGAGCTATTTTTAATAGATGTATACCTGTGAGTCTTCTCTTTGCAGTTTGGGACCATCGTTCTTTGAGCCTTTGTCCTCAATCTCTGGTTTCTTCATGGTTAAGCCATCTTCATCCTCATCCTCATCGTCTTCCCTGTCATCGCCCCAGACGAGCTGCAGCTCGTCTTCCTCCACCTTGACAACGGGCTGGCTCCAGTCCAGCCCGCCGACGCCGTCGTTGGCTCCCCAGGCAGGAGCTGGCGCTGCAGAGGAACCCCAGTCCAAACCGCCCTGGGTGCCATTTTCTAACGGCTGGCTCGTATTCACGTTTGCCTTCGACGGAGCTTTGCTGGGAGACGAGGAGCCAGATTTCCGGCTTACTTTGGGAATCTTGGAGAGCACTTCCAGAGCCAAAACCGGGCAGCCCACCTACAGCACGAAACAAACACGGTAAACAGATCGACATCACATAATTACGACGCATCAGAGATACCAGACGTCTACTGGACAGTAACCATTTCAGAACCGAGCTTACTTTAAAGTGTGCATTGGCAGTGGTGAAAAACAGTTTGCGCTCTATAAGGTTGATCTCATCTGCACCGCTTTTCTCAGCGGTGAGGCCCACGTTGGTCGCCGTGCCTTCTGGATTCGCAAAGTGCCGACGGATGATCAGAGGATGTGTCCTCAAGTAGTTATAGAAACTAAACACCACAGGGTTGCAAGACTTCACCATCACATCTGACGCACAGGAGGGAAGAGAAGGAGATGAAGAATAAGGATTGCATACAACAAAAATCATGACGAAAGCAAGTAAGGCTCGTTTTGTTCCCAGGTTTTCTGCTTACCTGGATTCTCCTCTTCTTTTGGGTTTCTCTCCAAGAGTGTGTCCAGGGCTCGGGTGTAATCTTTCATAATCCAATAGGCTATGCTGCGAAGGAACGGGTCTGGATGCAGCCTGGAGCAGTGATAGGCGCTCCCGTCCCGGTTGCAGCCCAGAACCTTCTCGTACAGGAGGCCCTGGCAGGTGGACGAATTCTCAAAGTCGGCTTCGTACAGCCGCGCGACTATCATGGCTAACTGGAGATCCTCCATCTTCTCCATCAACACCTGCACGTCATGAAGGAGCGTTCAGTCTACAGTGCAGCACAACTAAACTTCATATGAAGGGTAAAATGACACATTTTTAAACGGTTGAACTCATAATACTCAGCTATTCTGAGTGATTATAGAGCAACAGCTAATAGAGCTAAAAGTTTGAGGGTTCTTACAAATGTTCCCAACACATTCTGGATTAGATCCTGTAATTTATGACGAGTGATACTTTCATTTCACAAATTAACTGAATAAATGCAGAGTTAAGTTGAAGTGGTGACCAAAAACCAAAAGACAACAGCCTTTTTGGATTTTGTTTTAAATGTTTAATAGTAAATATGTCTGTAAGTCATAAACTACTGTGATCAAACTGGACAAAAACAACGTTATGATTAGCATTACCAGGAACACGGATCAACATCTTAACATAAATTGATGTAAAAATGCTTTTATTTTCGCTGGAATGCCACCGTTTTGTCTTTGCAGAATAAGAAAAAGTATAGAAACTCAAACTGTTCTCCAATTTTTCCATAGTTATAGACATGGTAGTATGTAAAAAAAATAAATAAATTCCCTCATTTTTTCATACTAATAACAGACAATATAGAAACCCTGTTATTTTGTTGATGTGAAAATCCAACAGTGCTCACAGAGCCTGGACCTAAACATGTAATTTGCACGTAGTCATTCTAGATTTCCTTAACTTGGTCATTCTTGTCTCACTTTACCTTGAGTTAGAAACACATAATGCTCAAAGTTGCTTTCTTGTCATTTTCTATCTGCATGTTTTGACTGTGCGGCTGTAAACCTCAGGCCAAAGAAAAATATACAAGATTGTTATGAATTTTATCAGCGTTAAGTGTTTACTCAAAAGGCTGCCAGGCTGCTCTCAGCAACATATATCATTATTATGCTTCATGTAGAAATTTAAATTTCATAGACTTTTATTTCTTTCATTTTACTGCTACTGTGAGGGAAATGAAAACAGAGACCAGGAGAAGACTCGGAAGTAATAAGCTGTTCCTGGGTATCTATCTGTGTAAATCAGGAAGTGTGTGTGTGTGTGTGTGTGTGTGTGTGTCTATTTCTCCTCACCTCTATTGCGTCTTTAAGGGAGCCAGCTAATAGGAAAAAAGCAGCAGACTGTTCAAAGCGCTGCTTTCCCAGCAGGGAGAAAGCGTTTTTTAGAGCTGCTTTTCGCCAGCGGTCCTCAGTGAAGTTGTTTTTGAAGAATTGAGTCATTTTCTCATCATGCTGAGACCTGAGAGATGAAAATGAGACTGTTGAATATCTCAATGAGGTTTAAAAATACACTGAAAACAAAAACACAATACACAGAGCAGCAGTGCATCCCGTGACATGATCCTACCGGAATAGACCCCACAGAACGGCTTTTTTCTTCATGGCCAAGTAAAAGAGCGCGGCATCCAAAGGATCGCTGTTCCTCTGGAATGCAGCTTTGCCCAGCTGATGTCACACAAAACGGCTCAGTTACTTGGTTTACTTGTAGCCTTAAACTGATACTTCACAACAGCAAATACTCAGACGTGCTGAGCAAATTAGAAATTTTTCTCAATAAAAATCGCAGGTTATTTTACACTTTTATTCTAGATTTTCTGAAAGTGTTCAGGCTGATTTTTATTTTTTTTTAAATCGGTACCTTCTCCACCATTTTCCGCAGCGTGTTGATGTTGCGTATCCACCATCCCACTCCCACAGCTCTCAGCTCAGACCACTGTGGGTCGCCTCTCTGCATGGCAGGAATCATGTTCAGCAGCTCCTCCTCCGCCTCCGAGTGGAAGGCCCAGGCAAAGTGGCACGTGGAAAGGCCTGGCATGGAGACGGATGGAGGGATGGAGAGGAGAGAGAGGCACGATTGGCTTGAATTGAATTTGGACAGGATTTAATAAAAGTGAAACATGAACCTGACGCGGCCTCGCAAAATGCCTTGAAATGACATGAGGCTAAAACATATCATCAAAGAGGTTCAATTTATTTCAGGGATTTAATAGATAAAGTGAAACTTGTGTTTATTGCACAGAATACATACAGCTGTCAGCTAATTAAAACCAAAAGCTAAGCTTCCCAGAAGATGTGAATGTTGCACAGGGGCAATAACTGGGGTATTAGTACAGAAATAAAAATGATGTCTGACAAAAACGCGAGACAGATTACAAGCTTGACATGAAGGTCAGAAACACCCTCTACAGGAAGGATAACTAATAAAGGATAACTGCTTAGGAAATACATTACATTTCACTGAGCCACCTCCTCCTAATGTACACAAATGTTGCGATTAAAGACTTTCCAAATAGGTAATAAAGATTGTAGCAGGTGGAAGCTGCAGCAGATTGGAGACAGAAAACGTGTGTGTGTACGTGACTGTAACTAGAAGCGCATCTCTTCATTTTAAATGAGTAAAACTTCATTAACTCCATACACACACAGTTCACAAACACATATCCATAAATAACACTATTAAATACTTTTTTGTGCTGCAGATCAAGACGGCTCAATGTAATGAAACCTATTTGATTCACCTGACAGCCTTAACTGGTGATTTAACAAACTATGTTTTATTTTATTTTTTTTTACCCTGGTGAAGCAGCTGCATGCGATACAGGGGAGGCAAAGACGTGAGCAGGCAGGTATGAAGACGCATGGCGAGCAGGTACCTCAGTCCACACTCATCAAGAGCCTCGCCACCTAAACAAACAGAAGAGATTTATTACTACAGAAAAATGCAAAAAAAGCCCCTCCTGTAATATGTCAGTTTGTGTAATCCTGTCAAAGGAGATACGTTTCTTGACCGTGAACCTTCTTCTGTGATTACTCTGCCCTGGAACAACCTGCTTATGTCTTGCTCTCAAAAGACTAAATAAACAAGAGGGAAAATCGAGGAGGAAGAAGAAGAAGAAGGAGGAAAAAAAAGACGATGATAATGAAAAAGTACGGAGGAACAGTTCAGGCACTTTTTGCTGATTTGGTCATTGAAGATTTGATGGTTGGAGATTAAAGACACGCTGGAACACGCAATCAAATAAAAGCATGTTTGTCTTACACTCTTATAACAACTTTTAAAGAGTATTATCTCTTACAAAGGTTAATAACTACAGTGATGGTAGACAAAAAGGCAGGGCAAACCCCCCCAACCCCCCCCCCCCCCCCCAAAAAAAAAAAAAAAAAAAAAAATAATTTAAATTTCAACACGAC